GACATTCTGGACAATTCTATGCTTTCAACTTTGTGGGAACAGTTTGGAAAAGGTAATTTTCCAGCATGATTGTGTCACACAAAGCAATGTCCATAAAGACATGGTTGGCTCAGTTCGGTGTGGAAGAACTTGGGACTGGCCTGCACAGAGCCTTGACCTCAACCCCATTGAACACCTTTGGGATGAACTAGAATGGAGACTGTGAGCCAGGCCTTCACATCCAACATCTGTGCCTGTCCTTACAAATGCTCTTTTGGATGAATGAGCAAACATTCCCACAGACACACTCCAAAATCAGTGGAAAGCCTTCCCAGAAGAGTGGCAGCTGCTGTAGCTGCAAGGGGGGAACCAACTCCATATTGATGCCTATGGATTTAGAATGGGATGTCATAAAAGTTCCTGTAGGTGTAATGGCCAGATGTCCTAATACTTTTTTCCATGTAGTGTACTTGTGCTTTTACCTGTAAGAATTACTTGTACATTTACTTTTCATCAGTTTGTAAGGAAACAGCAGCAACTTAATCTTATGGGCGCAAAACTGGATGACTGACCTTCTGCGGTAACTGTCCTAGAGCTGTAGCAATCACTTCTCCTTTCTCTTTGGTGAGGTTTTTGACCATTGACCCGAGAGTGAACACAACAATACCATCATCCCCAGAACTCTGCACAAACGCCTCCATATCCTGGAAGAACAGTAGAGCTTAAATGAGTTGGTTACAAAGATGCTATTTATCCTGTCAGTGTGTTTCATGGGAATTTTGTGTGGAAATGTTTGATGTCTTAGACCTGAAATGTAATGTTTATTAATCTGAACTCTATCTGATATTTTTTCAAACTCTATATAATAAATTCTCTTATCCCTGGATTCCACTGCCATCTGTTGGAATTAATGGACGAAATATGATACTAGCAACAACAAAGGGGTGATAAGGATGACAGTGACCTGTAAAAATCATTCATTTTAAATATGCTGTATTCAGTTCTAAATATACATTTTGAAGTATGAACTACCCTTTACTGCGAGAAATGTGAGATTCCACGATCACGAAGAGAGCTAACATGTGAGTGAGGCTGGCTGCGTTACGCATCCGAGCCAAGATGCAGTATTTTTTTTAACCAAAAATACCTTTTAATATATAACATATAGTTTACACTATATACACGGTACCAGTCAAACGTTTTTGCACACTGCAGGCTTTTTACTACTCTTCAATTTATTTAAAAAAATACATTTTTCATTCTTGTTAATTATTGGAAAGTTGAGTGAACAACTACAAATGAAAATATAAATCAAATAAAAAAAGTTTCCATTATAACATAGAAAGAGTATGTAACAGTGCACGTCTGACATCCTATTCATTGTGAGCACATAGTCAAATTCCAGGATGTCCTTTAACTTTAAATGCACTAGTGAACTGTTTCATCCTATGAAACAGAGCAGTACTTAATGTTAAGGTACTGAAATGGTGAACATACTGTAAATTTATTTTTTAGCAAAGAATACTGAGTGTATCTTAGTAAATGTTAAGTGATCATGCAAATGTTGACTTTTTTACTGGTATACACACACGCACAAACACACATGACATATATTTAAAATACAGTGGTACCTCGGTTCCCGAACTTAATCCGTTCCGGACTCCGGATCGAATCCTAAAAAGTTCAAGTTCTTATCGAATTTTTCCCATGAGATATAATGGAAAATCAATTAATGGTTCCCGGCCCCCCAAAATTACACCTAAATATGTTTTTTTTTTTTTTGTTAGCATTTAAACACAAAATGAACAGGAGCATTTTTTTCTTAATGGCTTCCAAAACGATAAAGATCTTATCCCAACATTACCCCTGTCCTGCCCCGATCGTCCGCT